CCGAGTGCTGCAGCTGGTGATGGACAGAGACAGCCCTCCCACCTGCCCTGGGCAGCAAGGGGTGAAGACAGAGGAGGGCGCAGTAGCGGGAGGGCATCTGAAGGTCCTGAGTTAATTTGTCTCTTCAGATTCTCTGCCAGATCTGTAAAACAGAACATATTAAAAATGTTCTTTTCAAACCTCTTGCCACTGAAAAATTATCATAATATTGTGTATAAAAGTATTCACCCTATACTCTAAGAAGTTTTTCCTAAATGCATTAATTTTAAATGTTTTCAGTTATTAAGTCTGTCTTGAAAGCGTCTCATCTTGACAGCATTCAAGCCCTTCCTTAGCTGTCATGTAGTGTAAGCATGGAGTACTTTCTAAAACCAAGCATTCCCAAATGACTTAACGTGGGAGACCATGCTCAGGCAGCAGTTACTCACTGAAGCATTTAGCTACAGGCAACCGCTTTGGGTATCTAGTGGCCTGGGTGCCACTCCCTCGTTTGGGAATCTGGAAGTGTTGCTTGACAATCCTTTATCCGAAGGGCATGGGGACTGCGCATTTTGCTCTTCTGAGATCAAGGTCCAAATCAGGAGCAGAAGGAGAGGGAGCACGAGCAAGGAACTCAGGACCGCGAGGGGTGAACCCACACACTGAGACAATGGGGATGTTCTATCGGGAACTCACCAAGGCCAGCTGGCCTGGGTCTGAAAAAGCATGGGATAAAACCGGACTCGGTGAACATAGCGGACAATGAGGACTGCTGAGAAGTCAAGAACAATGGCACTGGGTTTTGATCCTACTGCACTGTACTGGCTTTGTGGGGAGCCTAGGCTGTTTGGATGCTCACCTAACTAGACCTGGAAGGAGGTGGGAGGTCCTTGGACTCCCCACAGGGCAGGGAACCCTGACTGCTCTTAGGGCTGATGAGAGAGGGGGAGTTGATTGGGGGAGGGGGAGGGAAATGGGAGGCGGTGGCGGGGAGGAGACAGAAATCTTAAATAAATAAATAGAACTGCATTATAGTAAATAGTTCCATATTATAGAAAACCATGATGGAGTCAGGGCAGCCCGTTACAGTGAAATATGCCTCAAGCCTTGCACAATGGATGGATGTTCACAGTGAGTAGGGCAAATTTGTTTAATTTAGGATTGCCACCTAGCAGTTTCATCTCAGGCTGGGTTGGCTCACCATACTGATAATGAAATTAAGCATTATTTCCAGAAAGTTTTATTACATGAAGAAGCTGTGCTAGTCACTGGCTCTTAGATCTTTCTTGTTCTCCTGTATTCACAGGTATCCCAAATGCTAAAAGGAGAAACTGGACCAAATTGTTTCTAAATTTTTCAAATTCTAAATCTGAATGTTTGCCCAGTTCTTTGAAATAAACGCTACAAGTGAATTCATTTTTTTGTAATGCCCAAATATAAGCATTCCTCAGAAGTGTACAATAGTATTGAAGAACAAGTAGTAATTATGTCAAAAGATTCAAGTATGTATGAGTTCTGAATGGGTTGGGCCAAGCCAGATAACAAGATCATGAAGACAAACTGTTTTTTTACTTGCAACCTTAATTTCTAGAGGTCATTCTAGGGTGAGATTTTTATATTAAAAATACAGAGTGGGTAAAGATAAGGACACTTGCTGTCAAGCTTGATGACCCAAGTCTGATTTTCTTGGAGGAAGGAAAGAAGAAATTCTACAAGTTATTCTCTGATTTCCACATGTTTATCAAGGCACACACATGCTCACTAATGCACACACAAAAACACACATACATGCGAAGAAGATAACTAAATATAAAATTAATAAAACCATGTGTAGGTGGTAAGGAATGCTGTGTAGTTTGCATTTTTTCTTGTGGCAAACCAGGAGACCAGATTATACGAAACCGGGTACTCATAAAGGTGGCTGAAAGGGAAATTTTTATCACAAAAATAAATACATCACATAAACACACATGAAAAAGCTAAGCTCCTCATAGGCAGAATATTCTGTCCCGCCAGACAACTCCCAAATAACAGAGACTTATTCATTATAAATGCTTGGCCCATAGCTTATGCATATTACTAACTAGCTCTTACAACTTAATCTATAAATTGTGCTTAAGATTCTGAAGCTTTGAATCCAAGAAAAAGAAATTCCACATCTAAAGGGGCCGAGCTGTCCATTGAGGAAAAATTAATCTATGAACCAAAGGAATACTGGGATATCCTAGATAAAGACTTAAGACAGGGAAGTTAGTTGGAAGAATGCGGTGGGAAGAAAAACAGAGGGAGAGGTGTCACCCAAGCAGGAGGTGACTTGATTCTCACCATGATGGTGGAAATGAGTGGATAGGATGCGGATTTTCGAAGAAGCTTATTGGATAAGATGTGAGTGTGAGCAGAGAGCAGCCTTAGGGCGGAGTGCCAGTGTCATTGAAACTTAAAACACACTGTTTGTGACACAGACCCAGGGGAAATTACACACTAGAGTTTCTAACCTTATTCACAAAGCTAGTGGGTGATTTATGCATGATACGCTGGTAGGGTTTTCACAGTCACGGACCTTTGCTACTTTCTCTCTCCTTTGCGATTCATGTTATTGCAAATACCATTAGAGGTGACCACTTTTCCCCTACTGTATATGGGAACGACAATTTATAAAATGAGGACACTATAACTCAACCCCATTTAATTAGCCTGTCTGCCGTGGAGGTGCGTTTTCTCGGAGTGATGCCTGTTCACTTCAGTGCTGCTGCAGATGGGGGCTCAGGAAACAGGTTCTGAGGCAGGTTTGGGGGTGCCATGTGTTTATCAGGACCCACACCTGTGAAAGGAAGGCAGAGGAGCCAGGATAGCCCAAGAGAAAACTAAGGCAACAGGAACTATGAAGTACATTTTCCACACGAGAGCATCATGCATCAGGCCAACCCGGCTCAATAGCCTCTGTTGCTTAGTCAGTGGTCAGGGGCTCTCTGTCCCCGGGAGGCTCTGCTTTAGGAAGAGGCTGATTCTGCAGCCAAGTCCAACCATGAGGGAGGTGACAGTAGAGGCTGCCTGCTGACCGAGTTTCGTCAGCAGCAAAGTCACTCCTGAAAAGGGTTGATCCACTTCTACGTTCTCCACACTGTATCGCAGTGAGGGTGAAGAGTTCATTCTTCAACTGATGTGTCTGTTTCTTTCCAAAAATTCAAGACATCCAGCCCCCCACTAATCACCAAGTATTCATCAGTAGACGCAATGGCATAAAGGAAGATTAGGAGGGAAAAGAGTAGAGGTGACCAAGAACAAGAATGGCACAGAACAGGACCTAGGAAGCAGGGTTAGCCGGGAAAGCGCTTGCCACACAAGTACGGGGACCCAGTTAGGTCATTAGTTCTACATAAAACCTTGGTCTGGCGGTGTGTGCTTGATCTCAGCCCTGCAAGGGCAGAGAAATGGATCAGTGGGTGCCAGCGTCCTATGGGAGAGAGACTGGCTCTTGAGAAATGACACCAGATTTGATCTCTCGCCACCGCTGTGCACATACATACGTTTGCACCCTCTCTAGGTGCGCACACACACGGATGAGCGGCACAGAAAAAATACCCTTGAATAGAGTTATGACAGCCACTCCCAGTTATCACTTTTGAAAATAATTAAGTCAACACATCTTTAAAAATATTAGAAAATCAGTCTGTGAAATTTAAGCGGTCTCTTGTTGCTCGACAGATACAGAAAGCATGGATAAAAAAGACTGGTTGTCCGCGATGATTCAGAGAAATGACAGCTCAGGTGTTCTTCCCCTACTTCCATCTGTCCTTTTTGATTTATAGCATATTATGCAGTTTTAAAATGTTACAAACTTAGAATGCTGATTCTAAAATTTTAATAAGGAAAACTGGTTTTGCTTATGCCTAATGACCGGCCAGTTCTCTTGCATCGGGTCTGTTTTAAGTCACACCTGTGGCCAGGACACCGTTGCCTTCTTCTGAGATGTTTTTCCTGAAGGCATTTGGGATTCTCTTATAGCAGATACTAGTTATTTGTATCTATGAAAATGTGCATTTTTATTAGAATTTTTTGGGTTATTGTGATTTATGCCTTGGCCTTCTTGGACCTCTTCTTGTAATTTATCAAAAAGGTTAATCTGCCCAATTTGGATATTATATGCCTTTGGATGGAGAGTATACAAATATTTTACATAGAGTTTTATTTGAACCATTACATATTTAGTGTTAATTGTAGAGATATTTAATTTGTATTTTAATAAATAAAGCTTGCCTGAAGGTCAGAAAAGCAAAACAGCCCCACTGGTCAGCCTTACAGACCAGGCAGTGATACACACCTTTAATCCCATTAGACAAACTAGTTTGCCACAGAAACCGGACAATAGTGGTGCCCTCTTTAAATCCCTGCCTTAGAGAAGAATATAAAATGGGAGGAGACAGCTCTCAGATACATTCAGTCTCATTCTGAGATTCCTGGAGGCAGGCTCGCCATTTCAGACTGACGTAGAGGTAAGAGCCAGTGGCTGGCTGTTTTGCTTTTCCGATCTTTGCCTCAGGCAAGATTTATTTATTAAAATAAATACAGATGAAATATCACTACAATTAATTTAAAAATCTCAAATTTAACTTTTTGAGTTAGAAATTCATTGGTGCTTCAATATCTCCTTACGTAATTTGATGAATAGAGATGCAACACTTAAATATTCATTGTTGATGAACATATTTTTAAAAATGTCTGGAATTCAAGTACATTGAGTAGCAACATAATTTCTAGCACTGGCCACGTTCTATCTAGCTCACAGAATTGTCTTATGCCCCATTGGAAGTGACGCCCTACAAGGACTGCAGCTGCCGTGTTCTGAGAGGTTCTATACAACAACAGAGAACTAGGTACATCGTGACTGCTGTAACCTTCTTTTATTTGCTTTTAAAAATGAAAATACCATTTAACCTCAATATTTTTTCCCCTAACTAAATTTTGAGCTTGAATTATGTGACGCAATTTCTCTGTCATTCTCTGTGTTTTACATAAACCAGGTAACCTGGCATTCCATATGAAGAACGGGATGAGAAACTTCAGGTATAAGCCAGCAGACTACCAACAGTTACACGCCTTAACCAAAGCCACCAAGTTAGCGTCTGCTTCTGCGGAGAAGAAGGTTAGAGGCTTTTTTTTTTTTTTAAAGTTTGATAAACTGAATTTCTAGGAGGGATGATAATATTTATAGTGGAAATAGAAAACAGGCAACTGTCCAAGTCATTTTTAGAACCCCAACTATTAACAATAGTGTCTACCCAGTTCTGCCTAGTAATTTTTAACTGACCTTGAGACCTCAAATCCAATGTTGTTTCCTTTAAAAAAAAAAACAAACCTTTTTGAAATCAGGTCTAGTTACTATAGAATGGAGGCATGTGTCATTGCAGTTAGTATTTAATATAATTTTACTCCCAAGCTTATCTGACAAACCACCTCTTTATCCCAGCAAACAGTGCCTTCCACAGGGTAAGAGATTACACTGTTAGTCACGTGTCTGCAAGCTAAGTAGGAGACACAGCCTGAACTTTGTGGTCTGCAGTGATTAAATAGAGGAAATACATACAACCAATAGAGAATTAGTCAAGTGTGAATTGTGTCTTTAATTGTGCTATGTCGGAATCCATGTGTCAGAATCCTCTACCCCATAGGGTGGATTCCTATGATTGTGCCAAAATTAATGAATATTTTTTACTGTGTTGAGATCTACCAAGTTTCTTTCTGAAGTAAAATTACTACAACATATCCTCTACATCTTTGTCAATGTGAGAATATATAAATATTTATTAATAATTGCATCCATCCGCTCACCTACTCATACACTTGAGATGCATCACAAGAGACATTGGGGTTGGATGTTGATTAGCTGAGTGTTTTAGCTTCGGTATTTCCCTTTAATCGTCGCTCCCAATCAGAAGCCACACTTAAGCCTTTAGTTATTAAAAGTGTTACATTGTTATCACGAAGTACAAGACGAGACGCTGTTCTTCAGTGTCAGCTTTTGGGCATCAACTCAGGCCCTGGATGCGCCTCTCAGCTGCCCTACTAAACAGCATCACTGATGTTTTCGCTCATGGTAGACTGTAAATCCCCAAAGAAGTGTTTTGGTTACATGTTTTTCTAGAAATAATGGAACCTAGAATTTGTACTCTGGTAGATTTCTTTAATTACTGAAAATGGCCCAGTCTGTAGTGGTCGTTATGTTAAGTTTTTGATTCCATTTTTAATCCCCACAGATCCATGCGAGGAAGTGTCTTTGGAGAGCAACTGTGTCTAGTCTGTTGTTTTGCATTTTGGTTAGTGAGAATGAATGTGTTTTAAGAACTGTTACGTAACTTTCTGATACTTTGATTTTTCTTCATATAATTTACATTTTTATTACATCTGGATTAAGGAAGATGTGTTAGGAATGTCTTGGACATGAATTTTGGAGCTGTTTTCTTCTCATTCAACTTAGAGAATTTACATTGACATTTTAGTTTACTTTTTAAGATGCAAATAATTACTAAATAGTGTTTCCTTAGAAGACTAGGGGCTTAAATAGGATTAACTAGCTGGGAATTATATAAGGCTCTTAAAATCTATTTTAGAATTATTGATGTTTATCTGCCAAACAGTCTGTACAAACTAGAATTACCAATGTTATCTCTGTAAGTCATGCTCTTATTATTACTTACATTTTTATAAAATATGTACAGAGTAATGTCAGAGATAGCAGTTCACTCTGAATATTAGTATTATTGATGTCCAATTTCCTATTCATTTCACTACTGTATTGTTCACTGTTTACAGATGAGATTAACAGTCTTAACAGCCATTGTTAATGGTCACAGCACTTTAGCAATATCAAATACACCCAGAATGGTAGGATGTTGGCGTGGAGACCCATAAGGAAAAGTAGCACTTCAAGCTAGATCTGGACCCCTCAACCACTCGCCAGGATGTCGTTACTGACCTAGGGGTGTGGGGCAATGTGATGCTGTTCTATATAATCCCTGTGTCACTGACCATGGTCAGCTTCTAATGCCCGGTGAGACTCCGAGGTAAATAATCAAGCTGCCCAAGGACTGACCGGTCTCTAATCTGAAGCTGCATAGTGGACCCGGGCTGGAAACTGAGGCCAGTTTATGGTACACCATGTCTCCATTTGTAACTTAAGTTTAAAAGCAATCTTCATAATTATTTTGATTTGACTTTGCTTTGGATGGGTATGTCCTCTTGTTTAATTCAAATATCCATCAAGTCTTTCTAAACTTATAGAGAACTGCACACATGACCACAATTAGTCTGAATGGTGTGCTGAGTCACTGTGTGACATCACCCAGCTTCAGACGGGAGGAGCTTTGGCCCCAGTTTTCTTTTTGAGGCTACCACACACCCTCCCCCATGCTAAGCTGCTCTGAAGCAAATCATTGATATCATAATATTTCATGTAGAAACATTAGAAAACATTAGAACTTAGAAGCCTTGTCATGCCACTACCATGTATCAAAGTGTTAGCTTCTCAATTTTATCTAGTTAGTATTATTAAATTTCCTTGGGGGCCTCAGAAGATTATTTCAAAATTTTCCTCAAATGGGCATCTGAATACAACCCAGACATGGCGATTCATTCTTGGTATTTTGCTTCACTTGGTTTCCTCCATTCTCTTGTAGGTTTATAACTTGTAAGTCCTGAAGAAGCTGCGTGACATTGGTCTTATAGTTCCTCATAGAGTTATGCCGTCTGCATCATAGTGTGTCACGAAACATGTTTTTCTCTTTGCATTTCCTGCACTTTGTTATAGTTATAGTTGTATATAGTTATATCTAGTTTATCTAGAGAGCCGCTCAGATTCAGGCTCAGCTCACATCGGAAAGAACACTCACTATTTGTCCTCCAGTCTTCACTGTAAACGGTGCCACCATGAATAATCGAGGACCCTTTTGCCAAGATGGTTTCCAGAGCCATTTCTATAAATGATGCTGCTAGGTCAAAGTTAATCAGTTATGAAAACATCTTATATATAGCCACATTCCCTTCTGCAGGGCTTGTCTCATTTTCTATGCCCATGAGAATTTAAGAGGCTCACGGACTGCTTTGTTCCATACCCGCGTCACCGCCAGCCTGACTGATGAGGAACCGCATCCTAGGTCATTTTTTTTTTCCCTTGGTGTGGCATGGACACTTCATTGCTAAAGCTCACATCACATCCTAGTGAATTTTGTCAAATGTCTCCGCACGTGCCCGGCAGCTTCAGCTCTACACTGCTTGGGGATGTTTAGTTCTCAACTGGGACTCTCTGACCTATAGTCTTTTGTAGTATTTCAGAAGGCTTAGTTGGCGGTCTCATGTCTTAGATAATCACAATAAATCAGACACAGTGGGGTTTTATGATCTTTTACTAAATTCATTACTCTTGATTTTTTTCCCCTCAAAGTATTTTAAATGCATTCTGCATTAGTTATCACCCACCTTAAAAATGAGTTTACCTGGCTTATTGCCCGGTAAAATGAATTAGAATCATGGAACAATCTCAGCTGATGAAGATACAACTCTAAATCTTTGCGTTCTTTTAAAGCCTCTGTTTTTCTTCATTTGTGGCCTGAGGATAAAAGTAGAGTCAATGGTTGAATTTCCAAAAGAACAAAACAAAAAACCAAAAATTAAGATGTTGTACAAAGTACTGGAAGTATCTAGTGAAAACCGGTAACCTGATTTTTGACTTTTATAATCTATTTAATTGGTCTTTCCCTGGGCCCAAAGGCAACAGCATTGATTTTTTTCCCTTAAGCTGTAAAAAATATGTTCACATCTTTCCACCAATATGTTTTAATTTTTTGTACAGCATGGACCAAAAATGTCAAAAGAATCTAATTTTAAAGTTCTGTCTGTTACAAGAAATTTTAGAGGCTGTAGATGCTTAAAAATTTGAAATAAGATTTAGACATTCTTAACTCAAGTGCTAGCATATCAGAACATAGAAATACCCCATTCTTGCAGTTTTTCCAATAGGTAGAAATTGAATTTTTTTTTTAAACCAGCGTCTCCTACCAAATAAAAAAAAAAAAACTTTATAGTGATAACATTAAGAACTTCTATGGGAAAGGTTTGACTTCATCCTTTTAAAGTTACCCTTTGGATTACTTAGTTTGCTCACGTCCCTAATTTTGAATCAGAAACCGGAACAGCGCAAAGATAAACTCAAGGTTAAAGTAATCAGTGAACGGCAGCTGGAAATAGCACACATTATGACGATCCCTTTTTGGAACTTGTCTCCTCAAGTTTTTACATCTTCATTCTTGCTATTTTACAGCTATTAAAGTACTGAAATAGGGTAGTAGCAGTAAAATTATGAAATATGTATATTTGTCAAGTTTCCGATTTGTAATTTCTGTTTTAAAGGTTTATTTGTTTTATTTTGTAATTGTGTGCATGTGTGTATCTGCGTGGGTTTGTGTCCATGAGGGCAGAAGGGGTTGTCAGATCCCCTGGAGCTGGAGTTAGAGGAGGTTGTGAGGCACCTTGTGGGTGCTGAGACTCGAACCTGAGTCCTCTGCAAGAGCAGCACCAGTGCTCTCAACCCCTCAGCCAGCTTTGATTTGTATGTGCATACGTATCTAAAAGTGTTAACACGAAACACAAAGTTCAGAGTCCACGTGGCTTTAAGAAGAGTCTAACCAAGTATCAGACACTGCTTTGGGGGTTGGAGTCAAGCAACATTCAGTGTTGGACGGTGGTTACACAGATGGTAGAGCTATAGCGCTAAGAAGCTGGGGACTGTGAGGCAACAAAGAGTTGAAATATGTCACTGCCCTCAGGTCAGAGGAACGAAACAAAGGCGTGGGGTGAAGCCGCATTCCCCGGGAGGAAACCTCTGAGCTATTTGGAACCATGTCCAGGGAAAACTGGGTGCACTGGAGAACCTTCTGAAAAGAGAGGGGTGGGGCAATGCTTTAGGAGGGGGATTATGATGTGTCGGCCTTGTCTTGTCTCCTTCCCTCCAAACTTCCGTAGCAGACATTTTCCGTCATTTAAACCCATCTAGAAGCCAGCCAAGAAAGAGGCTGCTTTATGCCTGGGCACAGATCAGGGAGATGGCAACAGACCCAAACCTGACAGAAGTTGGCTGCAAAGTCCCTGAAGCACTCGTGTGTGGCATGCTAAAAGGCTTGGGGAATACTACATTTCGTTAAAAATTTAAGTTTCCCTCTTCCATAAGTTTTCAGTATTTGTTAAGTACCTTTCAATAACTATTTGCCTAAGTTTGAAAAGTTTATTTATAAAGCCATGAAATTGAATGATTGCAGCTCCATTTTCCAGTCCCTGTTCTTGATTACTGACGCTGGGGCTAAAGCCAGGTCCCCTAACAATGGATTTAATGAACCTTTCCCATCTTGTGATGAGGGCTCAGATTAAATCCAACCCAACACCAAGGGCCTATGGACTGGTATTTTCAAACTGTATGGTTTCTTTGAACCTAATCCTCTGACCTTTGGCATCCTTGTGTATAAAAATGAGAATGATGCTCTCTAAATATCTTGTAGGAAACATGTGTCCAAAATGGGGACAAATTTGTGGAATCTTCTGAAGTCTTCCTTGGGAATGAAGTGGGGGTGTTGCTTATTAGTGAAAACCAGAATGGCGCTGCTGGGGAGGAGGCTCGGCAGTTAAGACCACTCGCTGCTATTCCAGGGGACCCGGGCTTGATTTCCAGGATCCAAACGGTGGCTAACAATCATGAGTAACTCCAGTTCTCGGGGATCTGACACCCCCCTTCTGGCCTTCGTGCATGCATGTGATGCATAGATATGAATGTAGGCAAAACATCCATACACAGTAACAGTAAATAAAGATTTTTTTTAAAAACAAGCAAAAAAGTAAATAAAACAAATGAAAAAGTCAACAACTTCACCTTTTTGCATGCCTGCAATAGGGGTCTCAAATTGGCCAATATCCCAGGCCATGTCGTCTTTCTTTGTTTCTTGAGACAGCTTCAAACTGTTTCATTAAGGCTGGCCTTGAATTCATGATTCTCCTGCCTCTATGGCCCGAGTGCTGGGATTATTGGCATGTATCACTGGTGTACAGCTCTCTTCTCCCTGATATTTAATTCAGTACTTATTTTAGGGGGATTGCATATTAGAAGATGTACCAGTGATGTTGGAAAAACAGGAGCCTTTCTTTTGTGGAAATACATTTCAAAAATACAGACTTTTTTGTAATTCTCTGAGAAGTTCATGCATATATTTTGAGTATCTTCACCACTTTGCTCCTCCCCTGCAATTCTCCCCCAGGTCTGGGGGAAATTTTTGTTTTGTTTTGTTTTGTTTTCAAGTTTGAACATTGCTCCTCTTTGGTTCGTCCTCTATATGTAGATCAGAAAAGCCATGGAGACTTCAAAGGCGGCTAAAGAGCAAATGTTGGTCAAACAACACAAGCAGGTGTGGTGGCAGGAACAGGAACGGCTGCAGGGAACCAGGTGAGCCTGCCTCCCCCCACCCCAGGTCAGTGGGGATGTGTGGGAACTCCTGGGCGTCCCCATGACTGATTTACATCTGTAATGGTCCATGTTAGCTAAACCACACAATCAAAATTTCGAGTTGTTGGAATTAGAGCCACGTTTTCTTAGCTTATTCTGGAAGGCAGGGAATGTGTTGATAGGCCAGTGCTCTCTGATGGGGTAAAGGACATTCACCTGTACTGGACACTCACTCCCTCTTCTGCACTCCCCATCTCAGGCTTGGCTGTGTGTAGACACACATCACATGCTCACGTTTGGTTACACACTCTTCCCTCTAAAGCAGAGGCGCCTCGGGGGCAAACGTCACAGCCATCCTTTCGTGGTGGGCACACAGAAGAGGATTAATAAATGCTCTCAATACAAAGGAGCTGAAGAGTTCACAATACAAATGGAGGCAGCTGTTACTATTTGTAGCAGCCAAAGATGAATTAAGACAAAATAATAATTTGATATTTGACCTTAATTATAAGCTCTGCAAATTTTTTCCAAAAGCAATGACCAAAAGATATCTTCCATTTCAGGCTTACCCATTTGCTCTGACATTGTAGTATTTATAAACCATGCTTTAAAAAACATCATTACACATACTCATTCTTAGGAAGATTTAACTGTGATCTTAGTCTATGTCAGGTTTCTGAGTTTCATTTTCTTTTCTTTCTTTGGGCTTGTGTACTTTCATGACAATGTGAACTTTGTACTCTGTGCAGTGATCCCTATACAAGAGGTGCAAGGGTCACAACTGACAAGGGGTTTAGATTATGATTCAACGTAACCCAGGAAAATAAAATGCTATGAACTGCACAATTTACTTCAGCTATAAAAACCAAATCAGATACACCAAAACCCTTCAAACGTCACCTCTAATAGAGAAAAAAATATTTAAGGCCACTACAAAACCATTTTGAAAACTTGCATCATTGAAATACAATAAAGAGAGCCATGCGTTAACTTGAATCGTGGTGGTCACCTATGTAAGCACACACAATGGAGGGACTGGGAAGGGTTTCCTTTTCTTCCCATTTGGTAAAATCTTGGCCATTCTGGATCCTGCCTAATGTGTGGACCGAGTTGATCCTGAGCCAGATAGACGGATCATGTGCATTGCATCATGGAAACTCGTTCTGTTGGCTGAGCTAGAAGGACAGATGTTGGGGGCAAGGAGCTCTCTCCAGTGAGGATGACCCCATTGTCTGCAAACTTAGAAGGACTAAACCCTGAACACAAATAAGAATGCTAATGTAATTTTCCGTGTTCTTCTAGAATGTAAGGTAATTCTCATACGCATTCCATGAGATGAAAAACAAAAAGCAATAGGAAATGTCTCTAATGGTAGGGACATGTCTAGATGTATGGGCAGTGTAAGGACCTTGAACAAAATAGGAGTTTAAATGCTGCACTTGTCTACCCTCAGAATATCTGCCTGACATGATGGATGGCACCTGTAATCTCAGCACTCAGGATGCCGAGGCAGGAGGATTGCCACAACTTCAAGGCCAGTCTTGGCTAAATAGCAAGTTCCAGGCTAATCTGGGCTGTGAAGTGAGAGCCTGTCTCAAAATTTTTTTAAAATAAACACACACACACACACACACACACACACACACACACATCTGTACTTTCTTAATAAGGAAAAGATTCTTATGTTTTACCCAAAGACCCTATTTGAAGACCTTAGACCTGCAGAAGATAAGGGGTACAATGGTAGTTAACCTTTCCTTGATAATTGCGTAGGTACCAGACAAGAAGTTAATAGTTGCTGTGCTTAACCTCCGTCTGGAAAACAGCCATACCAAGTAGGTCTCATTGCTCCCCTGCTGCCGCTGCTCAACCTTCTGACGGGGTTTAGAGGGCTAATGTGTCTATACAAGGTAAACAAAGTAGCATGTGGGAAGAGGGGTTTAAAACGTTGGGGTTTGCTTCCCGTGTTCCATCATCTTAGAGCTGCCAGGCTTCTCTTTTCCCCAGAAGGTTCCATTTGCATCAAATGAGAGTTCTCCAGCCTTGCTAGGAAAACCAAGGGAAGCTGGCTGGGTAAAGAGCTTGGGAGGGAGGCACAAGGACCCGAGTTCCATCTCTAGTACCCACATGATAAAAAGCCTGGCATGACGGCCCACATGTGTTCCAATGAGGTGGGGGACAGGGGCTCTGTAGAGCCAGCTGGCCAGCAAGTTCAACTGAGCTGACCAGCTCTGGGTTGAATGAGAAACCCTATCAAAAAGTAAGGTGGAGGTTGGAGAGTTGGCTCGTCTGTTCAGAGCACTGTTGCTCTTGTTGGGGACCCAGGTGAGAATCCCAGCACCCACAGAGAATCTGACAACTGTCTAACTCCAGGCCCGGGAGATCTGAAGCCCTCTTCTTATCTTCAATGGCACCAGACATGTATGTGGTGCACATCATACATGTGAACAAGGTGCATGTACATATGTGTAAGCAGAACAAACACATAAAATAATAAAATACATCTTTAAAAATGAAAAACTGTAGAGTGGAGAGTGATTGAAGATGCCAAATGTCAACCTCTGACCTTTGACTTCTACTGTGCACATGTACGCACACACAGAGGCATAAGTTAGGACCTTAAAAATCTGCTTGGAGGACTAGATAAAACTTCCAAATATCAAATTTGTGTAATATTTAAAGTTGTAAATTTCTATTTGAAATTTAGCAGGCTTACTCCAGTCCTCTTTCCTGCGGACTGTGTTACACGTTCCCAGAAGCACACGTTGCTGTTTCCTCTGTGACACTGAGCTTTGGCACGACCATTTGTGGACACTGTATTACTGTCTTCAAAGCCACCGTCTGTAGAGGTCAGCCTGATGAAGGTGCATCCGAGTCTCATACAGACCTCATTCTTGCCTGAGAGTTCAAAGTTCTGGGTGGAGACTTGGCTCCCTCAGATCACCAAAGTGGCAGTACAGGGGCTCCCGTTGCTTTCTCAGTCCCACCACCCAATAGAAGACGTGGTTGTGTGAGCACTTCCTTTGTGCATAAACAGCTCTGCTCTAAAGGGAATTCTGGTTTGTCTTCATGATAATGCACCCGCCCTACCCCACCTCCAACCTCAAAAGAAAAATGGTGGTGGCGCACACCTTTAATCCCAGCACGCAGGAGTCAGAGGGAGATGGATCTCTGAGTTTGAGGCCAGCATGGTCTAGAGCGTGAGTTCCAGGACAGCCATAGTTACACAGAGAAACCCTGTCTTTGATGAGAGAGAGAGAGAGAGAGAGACAGAGAGAGAGACAGAGACAGAGACAGAGAGAGACAGAGACAGAGACAGAGAGAGACAGAGACAGAGAGAGACAGAGACAGAGAGAGACAGAGAGAGACAGAGACAGAGAGAGAGAGAGAGACAGAGAGAGAGAGAGAGAGAATTTTCATCCTATGATTTTAATTCTCATCCTGTGATGGGAGATGAAGTCTACTGTGTAAAAAGCTTTCACTTCTGACAACAACCAGAAGCTATGTTAATCTGTAACCATCCTGGCACTAAGAAATTCAGTAGATAGATTAAATATTTTCTCCATTTACACATATAATAAAAATCATGTTTGAAGCCAGGTGGTGGTGGTGCCTTTAATTTCAGTACTTGAGGCAGAGGCAGAGGCAGTTGGATCTTTGAATTCAAGGCCAGCCTGGCCTACAGAGTGGATTCCAGGCCAACCAAGATACTAAGTGAGACCCTGTTACAATAATAAAAATAAAGAAAGAGGAAAGAGAGCAAATACAGCCACCTTGAATATAAGGGTTGCAGGTATGCAAAGGCTGGAGAATGGCTCCATTGGCAGAGTGCCTGGCTAACACGCACAAGCAGCTGAGTTTGACCCCCAGAAACCAGGTTTAAAGAGAAGTTGTGACCCCAGCATGGCAGAGGTGAGGGTGGACAGATCCCGGTCACTGGCCAGCCGGTCTAAGTCACTGAGTGACCTCCAAGCTAGTGAGAGGCAGTCTCCAAATAGTAGACAATGACTAAGATACCAAGGTTGACCTCTGACCTCTTTGCGCACACACACTCTTAACATGTGAACATAAGTACACCTCTCCACCATTTCTGGGGAAAACTGCCTGCTAGGAAACAGAAGTATCATTTATAGTAGCCTCTCACCTTTATTCACAGATATGAATTAGCTTAACAATGATGGTCTAGCCTGAATTCTAATTGGTCTTAGTAATTAAAACCTGGAGTCAAGAATTAAGGTAAATGCTGAAAGAGCAGAGAAGTAAAGGAGCCAGTCAATAGAGAGACTTCTTACCTCTACCGAATCCCCAAACCAAGGATCCTGTCTTGATGAATTCTCAGGCTAATAAAGCCTGAGATCCTGTCTCTATCTGCCTTATATTCCTGTTTCCAACTCTGTAGTGCTGGGATTAAAGGTGTGTGCCGCCCCTGTCTGGCTTCTCTGGTTAACTAGTGGCTAAGTTCTGCATGATGATCTCCAGGCCAGCTTTATTTGTTAGATCACAAACAAAGCACCACCACATGATGGCACATATACACATGCATACTATCCAATATTACAACATGAATTAACCATTTGGAAATAGTGTAAAATATCAGTGATAAGCAAAAAAACCTCACAGAACTATAACATGAATTGTTAAATATGCTGTTATTCCAATCATATAAAATACAGGTAAAGAATAGAAGCCTGTTTGTGAAAATAAAAATAATAAACATATTGAAGTATTAAAATTGTTACTATTTTCTCATGCCATTTTAATATTAAAGTGTCCATTAACAACAGATCTGACTTAGTTACGTAAATAAGGGGTACAGAAATGTGTTGAATGCCCACCTGGAGGTGCATACAGTTTTACTCTAGAAATGACTATCTTTAAACAAGTAGTAAAAGATTATCAAGATTTATTGATCATTACTGGATAAAAACAAAATATTCTCTTGTTCTTATTTGCCTGCCTCAGACTCCCATCAGCTCTGACCTTTAGGGAGCCTCCTCGCAGGTCCAGGCTGGCCACTCTCCCTCTCTCCAGCCGCTGTTGCTAATTCTCACCCCTCCATCTGTAACCGCTCCCTTGGGAGTCTCTCTGTGCTGAATCCTGAGCAGGTGGGGTGGCTTCCCGGTGTCCTCAGATGCTTAGTGTAACATGCTGCCAAGACCTGCAGGGGCCACTGCCGGTGCTCACCCTGTTGTTTCTGCCCATGTTAGGAACATGGCTTGAGCGTATGAGAAGATGACCAGAACCCAATTCGGTGGACTTTTCGTACCCTGCTTGCATTTAAGCCTATATGTGTGATTAGGACTGTAAAGAAATTGATTGAGATCATGTCTGTTTCAGATGTAAATTGGAGTCGGAAATAAAATCTTGTCTCAATGAAGAGAGCATTGGCAACGAATGCTTTTGTGAGCTTATGAATTTTGGTGAGTTTTTTTTTCTTTGAACCTACTTATAAAGGGGAATCTTGTTTGGAACTATGGGAGTTGGTCACCCAACTTAATGTTCTTTTAGTAGTAACACCTGTTTGATTTTCTAAACAAATATGAAAAGTCAATAAACTAACAATCTGTTCTTTAAGATAGTAATGCATCTCCTTGATTCAATTTCTCTTCACACAGAGAAAGAGCTGGCAGAACAATGGTGCACATATCTTAAAGCTGTGATCCACCCTATTCATCAGCTGAGAACACACCTGAAGAGACAGTGCCAAACTTCCCAGTATGCACCCTCCCATACTGGGTCTAATTCAGCAATGGTTCTGGAAGAGGTCAGTATGTTGCCTTTTCAAAACACAATGTAATATTTCATTTTTTTGTCCCAAATAGAACAGTTGAAGCAGACACCTGCCTTGTGTGTTCAAGTAGAGGGCTCCTTAACTTCTTAAACATGTGCTTGGATATGGCCAGGTACCCACATTTTAACTCATCCTCCTGCCTTCATCCTTGCCCCTCCTCCCAGGGTACTTTGAGGCTCTGCCCAGGTACAGAGAGATCAACTTGTCTGACTACTGAAATTTCCTATGGACTCTTCACAATCCTTACACCCATATACAACCTCATTCACTGAATCTCCTTCCTTCTTCAATAACATCTCTTGCCCCACACTGTCCCATTCCACATGAGCTCGGTAGCACAGAGGCTGCCTTTGTTCTGTGCCCTTCATATAGCAAGCCTACTCCTGTCTCAGAGCCCATAGGTGAGCTGTTTCCTCTGTCAAGCTGTGGCACCTTCTGCCCTTTAGTTCTCCACGGTCCCTAACCAGCCATACCTGGATTCTCACTGCTTTCCTCCTCTGCCGGCCTTTTGTGTGCCTTTAAGTGCGTTGTGACGGAAGTAGGGTCTGAACTTTGATCTCTCTACTTGTCAGCTCCGCTATAATGTTATACTGCTTTTACAGGTAATCAAAAGCTTTAACTACACCTAGACTAGTAGCTCTGCCTAGTACTGTAGACTAGTAGCAAGGAAGCTGGAGAGTGAAGGTGTGGTTGAAGCCTTACCATCAGTGAACTCAAATGTAGAACAGGGTGACTGTCAGTACTAGGTGGTGGAGCCCAGTTTTAGCGATGGGTGTGGAATCCTCACCGAGCCTTGCTTGTTTGAAGAGCCTTGGCTGCCTGGCAGCTCTTTTCTTCACCGATCTTCAAAAGGGTTTTCCCTCCCTCATTTTCACCCCCTCCTGACTTCTGAGACTGTGTCTTTCTATGGAACTAACCTTGAGTGCATTGCAGTAATTCAAACACTTCCTCCTGTCCACACGCCACAATCCTCTAGGTTGACTTTGTCAGGAAACAATCCAAGGCTGCCTTTGAAAACCTCAACCAGGAGCAACAGAAACTAGAAAAAGACCTTTCGGCCTGGAGCGTGAAGGTAAGTGCAACACAATGCGTGATTAACTCTTTCAACCCATCTTTTATTTGTTAAATACAATAATAATCCCTTGCAGTTACTAGATTACTCTTCGGAAGAAAAGGCTAGCCTGCTCAGCGAACATCCTATGGAGCTAGAAACTTTGGAGTGCCCGTACCCTGATCTGAAATCGTCAGTCCTTAATGAGTTCTGGAACTTGACAGAGAAATATCAAAAGAAACTTGAAGACTTTGATCTGCAATTAGAAGACATACGCAGGTGATCAAACATGACTCCTTGACTGAATTTGAATCTGTGTTCAGGGTCACTATGCTTCTGATTTACCGTCTTCTAGTTATATGTGATTGCAATATAACCAATATAATTTTGACCTAGTTTGTTGAAAAAAAAAACCCTGGGTGTTGCAAGGTTAGTTTAGTTTGTTCCCGGATGCTTAGGCTAGCTTAGCCCTGAAATAATCACACAGAAACTGTATTAATTAAAGTCACTGCTTGGCCCATTCGCTCTAGCTTCTTATTGGTTAGCTCAATGCTTTTACTATAAATGATATTGTGTGTTTTATTTGATGAATATCTATTAAAAAAATCTTTAAGCGACAGTGCTCTCTGTTGAGTTCCTTGGAAAGGGTTCATGAAGGAGCTTCTAGACTAGTCTAGAAGGTGGCCCTTGCCTCTTAGAAAACTGGCAGTATCAGGGAAGAAATGAGCACCCTATTCCTAATCAAATAGGACTGCCCTGAAGCTGCTAATTGCAGAAAAGAGGAATAGTGAAGTCAGATGAGTTTTCAGAGAGGTTTATTGGAGGATTATAGAGAACTGGGATCTCTAGAGGTGGGTTGCAGCAGCTGTCCGCTGCTCTGCACACAAAGACACATGAATATGTGCTAATAAGTATGGCAGATGACATTACTAACTGAACTTCCGATTTATCAGGATCATGTTATTTTAACATGACTGCTTTCCTATTTGCTTCTAGTTGTTGGGTCTTGGGAGAATGCTCATGGTCTGTGTTTGTGCACATCTGTGGGGGTGTACTCATACTTTATTATTTATGGTTCAATTTAGTTTTTGATTTTTTTTAGTCAGAGTTTCATTGTGTAGCTCTGGCTATCCTGGAACTCACAGAGATCTGCCTGCCTTTGTTTCCTGAGTACTGGAATGAAAAGCCTGTGCTCCCATACCAGGGTGAGCATGCGCAGACTTCGCAAGGACTATTCGTTCATATCATCACCTTCAGCCAGTTGACCTGGATTTCTTGTTGTTTGCAACTAAAACCTTTCCTAATTTGATACAATTACCCAAATTATATGTTTTATATTAGGGCCACAATTCTTCCCAACCCTCCTTAATTCTTTGCTTTCAAAATTTTATTTAATTTTTATTTGGTAATTCATCTCTATATAGATGCTTGTTGTAAATTATTCAGTCACAAAATGAATCTCCTTCATCACAATATTTCTGTATCTCAAGAACACGTCGCACATATATACTTATATATGCACACTCTTTTAATAGTTATTTGTTTCAGCAATGAAAAACAGAAAAAAACTTAAAAGGACTGGCTAATTTTGTAGAAAAACTAGTTTTGTAGGAAAACGTACATTTACAAAATGGAACAATATCCAGGCATTATAGTAACTGTAGAGACGAGGAAAGCAATACGTAGTTCACCTTGAGCAAGGCAGGGAGGGGCTTCAACACAGTCACTTAGGTTTGCCGTTGCATTTCTGAAGCAATGCACAGACCTCGAGAGCATTCGTTGGTTCTGGAGAGGGAGACTGCAGGTGAGAGTGATTACAGGTAAACACTTGGCTAAAACAAGTAATTTTTTAAGACGAAAGGTTAAAAATAGGCAACAAATAGAAAAAATATTGGCAACATGTGAGATGAAAGATTAAAATACCTACTATATAAAGAAACTTTGCTGGTTATTATTCAATTAATTTGCAAAGTAGAACAAAGTAGTGCGAAGAGATGAGGGAAATCATTCCCTTTTCCTGCAAATGCCTATTTAGTGTCTACAAGCATAAGTCAGACAAAACTCTCAATACTTGTCGTCTTAGTGTTCCGTTGCTGTGACCACAACAACTCTTATGAAGGGAAACATTTAACTGGGGCCAGGTACCGTTTCAGAGGTTTTAATCTATTACGGTCAAGGGCAAGAAGCATGGCAGCACGCAGGCAGACAAGGTTGCTGGGGTGGTAGCTGACGTGGAGAAACTAATTAGTCTCTGCAGGCAGCAGGGAGAGAGCAAGCCCAAAGTTCCCCTTTCAGTGATACACTTCCTCCCCCGATGCCACACCCACTCCAAAGCCACACCACCTAATCCCTGACAAGTGGCAATGCTCCCCAATGACCAAGCATTTAGATTCAAATATATGAGCCTATAGGGGCCATTACCATTCAGACCACCCACTTGTGATCAAGTCAGCAGCATGGATGTGTGGACAAGGTTGAGGAGGCAGTCATGTCCCACAGTATTAGAAGCTGTGAGGGCTACAGAGTCATAGGTTAGAGTCAGAATGTGCTGGGATTTAGAAGGCAGACTGAAATTCTGGAATAAGAAAAACCTGGTGTTGTGTCTTGGTTGGATGGTGACGTTGGTGTGAAATCATGGAGTTGAAAGAGCTGGTCATGCAGCCATTGGCCTAAGAATATGGTAACCTATGTTCAATGAGTATGTCCTACCAGGGTTCAGTGTCCAGGACAGATCAGCAGAATTGTTGGATGAGGTTCAAGAGGTAAGAGTGAATGGGAAACTATTATTGGGTTAAGTGTGTATGTGTGTGTGTGTTTATGTGTGTGTGTGTATATGTGTGTTGCTGGGAGTTGAACCCAAGGCCTCATATGCATGCTCATCCAGTAATATAGCACTGAGCTCTATCCTCACTCAAGAAGGATATATTTAGAAATGTTTTGCAACCTCATCCTTTTATTGTGAATGACCTTGAAGCTCCTAGAGCAGTGAGTGGTTCTCAATCTCCCTAATGCTGCAACCCTTTAATAGAGGTTCCTTATGTTGTGGTGACCGCCCCCCCAGCCATAAAATATTTTGTTGTTACTTCATAACTGCAATTTTTCTACTGTTATGGAAATAATATAAATATCTGATATGCAGGATATATAATGTGTGACTCCATGAAAGGGTCATTCAACCTACAAAGGGATTGCAACCAGCAAGCTGAGAACCACTGTCTTAGATGCTGTGAAGCAGAAGAGAGCAGTGAGAAGACCTGGTTCTTGTTGCAGTAGGATCACTTTGGGCAATTGCTGTACTTAACGAGCCCAGGAAATGCAGCTGGAGCAGCCGAAGTTCCTTGCTGCACATGGCTTCTTTGCATTGGGCAGCTAAGAAAATGGGGATGGGCAGACTGTAAGTGGGTGGTTTTGTCTGGGAGGGGTGGGCCTGAACATACTGAGTTTGGGGTATCCGTATTGATATTTTGGGCTTTGTGAGTTCAGAGTCCAGGAAGAAGATCTGGGCTGGAGTTTTATACATTGTAAATCAGCAACTTGAGGTTGGATATGATCACCAAAGCAACAAAAAGAAGCTCTCCCTTCTGATATATGTGAGCAGGACAGTGTCAGAGAAAACAGAAGAGGGAGAAGTAACAAAAGACAAATATATAGATGGACGGGGGGAAGGATGGAGGAATGGATGGATAGATAGATGGATGGAGACAGAGAGCGCGGGAAGGCAGATGAAGAGAAAGCAGCCTGTACTATCTGCGGGGAGGTGATGACCCACTGAATAAATGCTGCATGCGTCAATCAACAACTGATAGCTGTTTGGCTCTAAAAGAATTGTTGGTACCATTTACATTGAAGAAGGGGAAGTAACTGGCTGGTTGGAGTGAGTTTGAGTGAGTGGGAGGGGATGGATAGAAAAGAATGAATATGAACAACTTGAAATTTTTTTTCTGCCACGGAGAACAGGGTCTGCCTTTGCTGTGCTCTCCACTCGCTTATGTTTTAATTTCATTTAAAATGGGAGCGATAGCAATGAACCATGCGTGTGATGCTCACGGGGACGATCTAGTAAGGGATAAAGTTTAGGGGAGGCAGAAGGTAGGAGAGAGGGAGACAGACACACACAGAGGAGAGGGGAGACACAGAGGAGAGAGTGAGAAAAGAGAGAGAAGCAGCTCAGCACAGGGGATTCATGTACCACAGTAACATAGTGTGGGGCAGGAATGGCAGCGCATGTGGTTAGATGCCAGGTGCTGAGATGTCACAGTGATCATTCTAAACACAAATGAGTCAGAAACTCATGAGCCTATCTACTTATCTAAGAAATGGAAAACAAACTCAAATATTTACCTTGTAAGAATGGTCAGGCATAGCACAGTTTTACCCAGGGTTAAAAATAGGATAAGGAAAATGGCTATTTATATATGATTGGCGTATAACGTTTTTCAAAGCCACAACAGCACCAGAAATCTTTATATGGGTCAGGAACATGGTTCAGGCAGCAAAGTGACCTCCACACAAGCATGAGGACCTGAGTTCAGATCCCAGAACCGCATAAGAAGGCAAATGTGGCGTCACATCTGAAATCCTAGCACTGAGGAGATAGAGACTGGAGGAGCCAGAGCCCCCTGGCCGGCTAGTCTACAACAACTGGTGGGCCCCATGTTCAGTAAGAGACCTGTCTCATAGTATAAGGCAAAGAGTAGTAGACATCCAACATCAACTCCGGCCTCCATGTGTATACACTCACTCTCACACACACACACACACACACACACACACACACACACACACACGCATGCACACACACTCACACAAATGCACACACACTCAATATAAAGAGAATATTTGTCTCAAATATTGAAAGACAAAATCATTAAAGTGAAATAAATATTTGACTTCAAGTATGTTCAATATTAATTTTTCTCTTCCTACTGGTAGCACAATCTTTAAGACTACCCTAAGTTGGTTAGTGTTTTTTCAACTTGACACAAACTAACGTCATCTGGGGAAAGGAACCTTAAATTGAGGGATTTCTACCATCGAGTTGGCCTATGGGCATGTCTTTGAGACATTTTCTTGATTCATGATGGATGTGTGGGTGGGGGGCCACTGTGGGTAGTGCTCCCCTCAGCAGGAGATTCTGTGTGATCTGAGAAAGCAGGCTGAGCAAGCTCTAGAGAGCAGCCGGTCAGCAGCACTCCTCCATGGCCCCCGCATCTGCTCCTGCCTCCAGGTTCTTTGTCTTCCCTTTATGATAGACTATAAATTTGAAATAAATGTTTTCT